ATCTACAACGCTTTAAGGTCCGACCTGCGGAAACCCGCCTGCGCTCCCGCCCTCTCTCCGCCAGCACACGAATTCACAGCTAGCTTGCGTGAAGCCCAAATGAAGCACTGAGATCGCCCTAGCAGGATGCTCGCTCTCACCTCATCGTCGCTCTCTTTTGCTCCGGCTGTCGCGCCCCGCGCGGCCGTGAGCGGCCCGGTCATGTCGGCCAAGGCCGACCTGGAGGGTGCGCGCAGCCGCCATGCCTCAGCAGCACACACTCCGCCGCCGGCCACCACAACCCACCACGGACACCGCCGGCCGATGCCCTCGGCACTGCACACAGCTTCCCTGACCGCAGCCGCTTCTTCCGCGCAGCCTTCGCGAAGGAGTGCAACCCAGTGGTGGGGTACTGGGACCCGCTTGGCCTGGCGGATCTGCCGCTCTGGGGCCAGGACCAGGACGCCGTTATCGGTGCGCGCGGCCGCCCTCACGGCGGCAGCCAGTCGGAAGAGAGACGAAGTGAGGCGCCGATCCATCGCCGTCCCTCCGCGCGCAGGCTGGCTGCGCCACTCCGAGATTAAGCACGGCCGCATCGCGATGGCCGGCTTCGTCGGCTACATTGCGCACGCGAACGGCTTCCGCTTTGGCGGCATCGGCCCACAGAATGTGGTGCCGGAGGGCGCGTCGGCGCCGGAGGTGTGGGACTCGATCCCCTTCCTTGCGAAGCTCCAGATCATCGGCGCGATCGGCGTCCTCGAGCACATCTCCGAGGACAAGAACTTCCTCGCCGCCGACGGCATGAAGGCGCCGTCGCCCCCACAGCTGTCGGCCTCGCGCCGGCTGCAGCCTCGCGGCAGCTTTCGCGCGGCGTGCGGCAGACGGCGGCGAGAGCTCATCCCTTGCCCCCCCCCCTCCCCACCGCGCCCGCAGCACTACATGCGCGGCGGCAAGCCCGGCTACTTCCCCACCTTTTCTGCCAACGTGCACCCGATGCCACTCAACCTCTTTGACCCGTTCAAGTGGAGCAAGAACGCGTCGCCCGAGAAGAAGGCAAAGGGGCTCGTCACCGAGACCAACAACGGCCGCCTCGCGATGCTGGGCCTCTTCGGCGCGCGCCCGCGACGCCACTACTCCCCCAACCCCCCTACTCTTAGAGCCCACTGGGCGGGGGTGCCGGGCCGGTGCCGGCAGTGCCACGCAGCGATAGACGCGCTGCGAACGCGTGCGCTCCGCCGCCGACGCCCCCGCGCCCCCGCCGCAGGCTTCCTCTCCGAGTCGAAGATCCCGGGCTCCGTCCCCGCCCTCTCGGGCATCATCCCCAGCTACGACGGCGACTACATGCAGCCCTTCCTGCCGACGGGCCCCGACACGAGCCTCTGGACCATCGGCAACCTCTGGGCCAACTAGAGCGGCGCGCAGCCGCTCTCCAGAGCGCGGGAAAGGCTGCGGACCCCGGTTCCGAGCGCTCTTGTGCAGCGCGCGCACTTGCCCCGAGGCGGCCGCCGCTCTGCCCCTGCGTGGTCGTTGTGCTTGGTCCGCTGCGCCGAGATAGTCACGAGTACAAAATTCCCCCTCTCTTCTGCCGCCGCCGCGCCGCCGCGCCGCGCGCCGCCCCCCTCTCTCCTTCCTGCGGTTATAGGGTTTCTTCTATCTCAGCACTGCAACCAACCCTCGGCGCGAACACAGTCCAGAGCTATCAAGTGACTGATAGACATAGATACAT